GTGACCAGCATGCCCAGGATGGATCAGTTGTTCAGCGCTTCTGGCCTTGAAAGTTGCAGTCACCTACCTGGACGCAGGAGGACAGCCAAAGGATTGACCCGCCTCATGTCTGCAGCTGTCCTGCCAGCCCTGGCCCTGACGACATTGTTCAGATCCTGCTGCCTCCTGCCAGCTGTGCCAGGCTGTGCCTCTGTGCCAGGCTGTGGGCACAGCTCTCACCCATCAAACTACCAAAGGACCTTTCAGCTCTGTGAGACCCATGGATGAGGGTCTGGCCAAGCACCCACGTGCACTGAACAAGTGTAATGGGCTTCGTGTTGATGCAGGGGACCTCTGGGTTTTACCTGCCTGTGCCATGCAGCCTGATGGCACTGGGGACAGTAGCTGAATCCCTCCCCTTAGCAAGGAAGGAGGCCCAAGGGGAAAAGCGAGCAGACGTGAACTTATTGGCTAGCCCTCGTGACTGAGATGTTTCTCCCTCCACCTCCACGGCTACCCAGCTGTCCTGCTTCTCATTTGGATGCTCACATAAACGTCACCTCCTCAAAAAGTTGTCTGCCTTGTCCTGTGGTCTCACTGCCCTTGTGTGTTCTTGTGTGAAGGGGCAGGATGGCTGTGTGACAGAGGCCAAGGGCTCCGACAGCTGGGCCCAGACCTGGGGTCTTTCATTACTAGATGGTGGGCCTGGGCATGCGACTTGGCATTTTTTTCTAGTGCAAGCCCTGGAAGCCCAGTCTAGCCTCCCTCTCCTCAGTCCCTGAGTGCCACTTGTGACTGGGCAGAAGGCACTCCACAGAGGCAGAGTGTGGGTGGAGGCGCGTGACGGCTTTATGAAGTCAGAAGACAGCTCTGGCCCCGGCGAGTGCCAGGGGACTGTGAGCACAGCCCAGTGCTTGCCCAAACGAAAGGCTTTTTCCTTTTAAGGCAGTGAGCTAGATATTTATAAACTGAATTTTAGGGTCTGTCCAAAACCCACCACTGAATGCACTGGTCTGGACCAGAGGTCCCTGCCTTGTTTCTCTGCAGTCTCTAGTATCGCCAGCCGCCCTCAACCTGTCTCTTCATGTTGCCCTTTCCCTTGCACAACCCCCCCCAACCCCTTGCACAACTCCCCCTTCCATTCCCCCTTCCATTCCCTTGCACACTTCCCCGAATCAGCTGAATGCTTCTGAACTGCTCCCTGTGGGGTATCCCCTTCTGGGTGCTGGAACAGTCTATGTGAGGAAAAGCAGACCGCTGCACGTGGGAGGTAATGGCGGGGAAGACAGACAGATGCATAATGACCAGAGACATAAAACTAAATCTTAGCCGCAGGAATGCGAAACCCCGACGCTGGGCTGGGACGAGATGCCCGAGTCAAGACCATCAGTGTGATGAGCTCAGGTCTGAAGGCAGGCCAGAGTCACATGTGCAAAGGCCCTGCGGCAGGAGGAACAGGGGACCCTCTGTCCACTACCTCCTGCACTTCTCTCCCTAGGGACACCTTCCTCTCTATCCATTCCATCTCTCCAGCCTGCAGAGCCCAGCTCGAATGCTTATTTAATGCAGGAAGCCTCTCACCTGAGAAGGCAGTGGTCTGCACTGGGGGGCACTCCCGGGTCTCATCCCAGGAAGCTGTGACACGGGCTCTGTATCTATGTTCTACCTTGTACCCACAGCAGAAGTCCTTGCAGGCGGAACCATTTGTTCCAGGCTGGACTCAGAGTCCACTGGTCCCAGGTTCAAATCAAGAGCTGAGCCACTTAGTGATTAAGATCGTCTCCCAGCCTCTGTGCCTCAGCCTACTCACTGGTAACGCGGGAAGGCTTGATGTGGCTGCCCAGCTTCTGGCTGGCCTGAGATGAGGGCTTTTCAGAGGGCTTAGAACGGACAGAAGTGGGAGAAGAAGTGGGAAAAGGAGAAAAGCCCAGGGACCTGGGCTCAGATGGACTCAAGTTTCTCAGATCTGAGAGTAAGAAAGACTCAAGTTCCTCGATAAACATCAGATGCCACTCCTAGGCTCTCTCTCAGGAGGCCTGGATGCGGACCAGGAGCCTGAGTTCTGAAAAATCTCCTGTCTGGTACTGGCAGTGCCCAGTTTGGTGGGGGAAACTGAGACCCAAGTGAGGAAGTGACTTCGTGGGTGTGACAGAAGGCTCAGGCTCCGGTTCTCTGCCCAAGAACAGCAGGGCCCACTCTCTGCAGGCGGAACACACCTCCCACCCCCTCGATGTTGGCCTTGGCCGTGGACTTGCTGTGACTGCTGAGGGATACAGTGTGGTTCCTGCTACACACCCACCCTTCACCTGGAGAGGAATGAGCCTGGGGATGGTGCTGAGTCACAGAAGAGACTGGAGAGAGAGCCTACACCGTGGATGATGCCTGCTCAACACAGCAGACCCAACAATAGGAGCCAGTGACTCACAGGGTCCTACAGTGAGGGAGGACACAAATGTTCCTCTAGTCTACTGAGCTTTGAGGTTTTTGTTACACAGCACTACTGCAGTAATAGCTGACCATTACACTAGAACATAAGCAAGCAAATATCAATGCTAGGATGGAAAGCCATGCCCTCCTTCTGTTCATGTGAGCCCAGAAGTTAACCGTGGGTCATTCATCAGGAATTGTCCACTCAGGTCTCTTACTAGTCGGGACTTGCTGTCCAGTGAACTCTGGGGATCCTCCTGTCTCTACCTCCCCGGCACTGGGGTTAGAAGTTTAGACCACTGCACTTAGTTTTTATGTAGGTTCTGGAGACTCAACTCGGGTTCTTATACCTACACAGTACTTTACCTCCTGAGTCATCTCCCTAGCCCCTCCTTCTGTTTTTCAATCCTGAGGGTTTCCCCAAGCCCTCCTTCTAGAAGCCTCTCCCCTCTGTGCCCTCCCCTGAACTCCCTTCTCTGATCATGTCTAGTTTGAGACAGGACGGACCCTTCTCAGCAGCCCAGGTACCACTCTTTGCAGCTAAGCACCAAAGCTCTTAGCAACAGCTTTCCCTCCACCTTGGGTACCCAGAAGGTGCTGGGGGAGGCCCCCAGAGCCCGGGAAGAGCTCTAGAAACTTCCTTTCTACCTTCTTCCAGTGAAAAACATTGTTCCCTCCCCTTGCTGTAGCTTGGGCTCCAGCTGAGTTTTCTCAAGATGGAGAGACTCAACCACTGAGCCCCATGGGCTGCTGTTGGGTATCTTGGCCAACAGCTGTAGCTTCTGAGGTTCTGTAAGAAGCCATACTCCTTCTCAGACACAAAAACAGACAGTAGGGCCACATTTATGGTCAAATATACGTCCTTTCTATTCTCCAGGGCTGAACACACACATGCTCACAAATGCATATGCAGATAAGCTACAGGCAGATATCCTAAACCCATAGTTATCAAAACACATGGAACGGTAGGGCCACATGTTCTGACATGGAACACAGACCCACAGTCACACTCTAGCACCAGAGTCCCTTAGACCTGACCTCTCCAACAGTCATCACGGTGCCTAGGGACTCAGTGGGTCCTCTTTCTTCCTTGAGGTCCCCTCCATCACTGTCCTAGGTTCCCTTAGTTCTGCAAACTATGGCTGCAACAGCCCACCTCCTTCAGGAAGCCTTCCTGGTCTACCCTGAATGTCTGCCTCCAGGATCTCTGTGTATTTCCCAGGAAGGGCAAGCTGAGGAGTAGCTTTTTTTCTCCTCTGTAGGCTGTAGTTCTGTTGAGGGAAGAGCTTGTTATTCGGCAAAAGGTGCTAAGTGAATACACCAGGAACACACACCGTCTACTCCACAGTACCATAATACACCAGGGACACACACTGTCTACTCCACGGTACCATAATACATCAGGGACACACACCGTCTACTCCACGGTACCATAATACACCAGGGACACACATCGTCTACTCCACAGTACCATAATAGATCAGGGACACACACCGTCTACTCCACGGTACCATAATACACCAGGGACACACACCGTCTACTCCATGGTACCATAATACATCAGGGACACACACTATCTACTCCACGGTACCATAATACGTCAGGGACACACACTGTCTACTCCACGGTACCATAATACACCAGGGACACACACTGTCTACTCCACGGTACCATAATCACCTTGGTTGTTCCACGGAGTCCACAGTGTAGGGTGTTCCTGAAGGGATCAGGGGCTGTTGCTAAGACTGTTGCTTGGCACCCTTCTACCTGAAGGGACGCAGGGTGGACCATGGAAGCATATCATAAAACCACAAAGAGTATTGACAAAGAGGAGTTCTGGAGAGTCGGACCTAGGATCAAACTTGTGCTGGGGTCAGGCTGGACGGGGCTAAGTGGCCTAGGAAGCATCAGTGGACACTGCTGGAAGTCCCTCAGATCTGCCACTGCCCTTTGCCCTGAGGCTGCAGAGATGACATCTCATATTCAGTGGACCCAGCAGGCCACCCAACCAAGTCCAGCCACTCCCACCCACCTGGATCAAGCAGCACCATGTCCTGGGGCTCCTCTCTTCTTCCTGACTCAGTCTGGGCAGAGTTGGGAGACACGTGGGTCATGAGTCCCGTGGATCAGACACCCACAATCTGCATGGCTCAACTCTTCTACCTTAAGCCACTACATGCCAGGTCTTGTGACGTGTGCACCATAAGAGGCAGTCACTATTATAAACCCCAAGGCAGAGGGTCACTTTGTCCCCTTGGGAGTGCTGAAGCACAGGCAAAATCTTTTTTTTTTTTTAAAGTGTCAGGAATCAAATCTAAGTCCTATACCTATTAGCCAAGTATTCTAGTACTGAACAACACCCCAGTCCTAACTGTTGATTTTTTGGAGAAAGGATATTGCTATGCAGCCTAAGCTGGCCTCAAATCCAAGATCCTCCTGCTCCAGCTTCCTCAGTGCTAAGATGATGGATAGACATGACCATCTTAGCGCATAAACAATCTCGAAAGACAGACAGCCTCAGTTATCTCCTGGGACCAGCAGGGCACGATGCAGCGTGGAGTGACAGTCCCTTCCCCTGTACCTTCGGGGCTCACCTGCTTGGTTGGTGGTGATGTTCACAGAGGCGAACTGGGGTGAGAAGGGGCTCTGGTCAGTGACACCATTCACAGCCTGGATCTCGAAGGTGTACTGCGTGTGCGCCAGCAGGTCACTGATGTATATGCGTGGCTCGGTGAGGCCCAGCTGGCGGGGTGCATACTGCACATTGTCCCCACAGCGGGTGCAGGCACCCCGGCCTGAGCCGCAGCTCTTGCAGATGATGTTGTAGACCAGATCCTCACGGCCCCCCGAGTCTCGGGGTGGGGTCCACTCCAGCATGAGGGACGTCTCATTGACGCTGGAGATCACAGCCTGGGGCGCAGATGGAATAGCTATGGAGGGGACAAGAGGGTCAGTGGAGGCTGTGGGTACTTCCCCACTCCATGCCCACTGCCTCCCCCAGCCCCGGCCCCCTAAAAAGGCTTCCTACAAATCTCTCCATTTACCCAAATAAGCTTCTAGAACATGTCATCCTGCTGAGAATCATTACCTGCTTCCCTTCAGGCTCCAGCCTCCTTAGTATTTGTTCCTGGGGATGATGTTTTCATGTTTGGGGTAACACCTACATACTATCGTCTCTCTTTCCCTTCCTTCCTTCCTGTGTGTTGTGCATGTGCTCCAGCGAGAAAGGCCAACAGCGTGGGGCTGCTTCTCTCTTTCCACCTTTATGTGGGTTCTGCCAATTGAATTCAGGTCACCAGGCTTTCAGGGTAAGCCCTTCACTCATGGAACCATCGTGCTGGCCCTTTCCCTGTACAGCAGAACCCAGTTTCACTGAGGGAGGTAATTTGTGTATCAGAAAGGTTACATTTCCCAGCCTTTGTGATGGATCAAGCCACTGATCAAGAACAGAAGTTTCTGAGTAGTGTATTTTATGCATGTTCATGTATGCATGTTCATGAGTGTATGGATGTATATGCGTGTATGTATGTGTGCAGGTATGGAAGTATGTGTATGTGTGCATACATGTGACTATGTGGGTGTGTTACCTGCATGTGAGTACATGGATGTGTATGACCATGTGGGGGTTGAAGCAAGGGTATCCAATATCATCCTGGATCATTCTCTGCCTTGCTTCGAGGCAGGGTCTCTCACTGAATTGGAAACTCACTATTGTACTGGGATCAGAGATTTTCCACTTCCTAAGTGCCTGGCCTTTTATATTGTTGTAAGGGATTTGAATTCAGGTCCTCATGCTTGCAGAGCAAAGGGGCCTTACTCACTGAGCCATCACCCCATCTCCCTAGAGCTGTGTCTTAAAATGGAGATAGATGGCTACATCAAGTCTTTTTCTCCTTTCTGTTGCTGCTGCTGCTCTCTCTGTATATGTGTGTGAGAGAGAGAGACAGAGAGACAGACTGACACAGAGAGAGACAGAGAGAGATGGCTGAAATTTCAGTAGCTGTGCTAGAAGTGACCATAAGGAGAAAGCCAGATGCCTAAGAGGCCATGATGAATTCATCTTTCACATGACAGAATAGGTCTGTGTGGTCTACGCCCCTGGGGTCAGCTCTGTGAATGTCACCCTTGACCGACATAGGGGATAGAACATTGCTGTTTTCCAAGAGTATGTTGACCTTTGACCTGAGGTTGAGGCTGCAGCTGCAGCCTCTGTTGCATGTGTCACCTGGCTCTTCTGCCAAGCCTCCTCCTGTCCTTCTGTGAATCGAGACCTTGACTTTATCCTCCTCATGACTGAGTGGAAGGGGGTAGAAGTCGGATGCCAATGTGTAGTGCAGACCCAGGAATGGCTTTAGACACCCTCCTCCGCCAGGCACCCAGCTGCTCCCAGCCATCCCCCTTCTTTGAGCCTTCCCGTGAGCGTACTGGGGTGGGGGAGAACGTACTTGTGCAAGGCATGTCTAAGGGGTCCAGGTCAGCCCTGTAGTAGCCATTACGGCATACACAGTTGGTGGCGCCCTCAGAGGTGGTGCGGCTGTTGATGGGACAGTGGGCACAGGCCTCATCCCCCTGGTTGGCCTTGAAGGTTCCCGATGGACAACCTGGGAGAGAACAAGGGAGGGTCACTGAGGAGGCCAGGTGAGATGAACAGAGGCTGCAATATGAGGGACCCCTGGTCATGGTCCTGGGGACCCCGCTCCCGAAGTTCTGGGGTCTCAGGTGCAGCTTGGCAGTCTGGCTCTGGCCCAGGGTTTCCAGAGGAGCTGTTATTATTGTCTCTGAAGTTGCCTGTGGATTCAGCATCCTCAACCACCTCCCCTTACTGTCCTGTACCTCAGCCTGGAGGGGCTCGGCAATCTGGATCCTAACCTGGTTAGCTGCTAACTAGCCTGGAACTAGGTAATAGGGCTCTAGATCACAAACAACGATTTTGTTACAGAATCCTGGGCAGTTAGACAGCACTGTGAATGACTTGGTACACGCTAAGGACACTGTTGGAGTCACACAGACCTGAGTCTGAGTCCCTGTCTGTGTCGCTTTGGGCAAGTGGTTTAATCACTCTGCGATGCAGGTTCCTTATTTGTGAAAGTGCCATCCTAAGGTGAGCATTCTGCACACATATGTATGATGCCTGATATAACCCAAGTTAGGTAGCTTGGCCAATGGGTTAAAATAAAGGGGTTTGCAGTACCAGGTTCAGCCTGAGGGGGCAGTGCCCACACTCAGTCAGCACCTGGTACTCCAGAGCGGCATGGTCACAGGCTCTTGATGAGCAGCAGCCTTGCAGCCAGGACATGCATGGGTTAGGTTCTACTGCAGGCAGCCATGGGAGTGTGGGTGGTTTCAAATCCACGCGCTCATTTCTGCTGGCCCGGGAAGGGAATCCAGAGGTTGCTGGCAGGGCCCTGTCTCTCTCAGTCTCTAAGTGAGGAGGTGGATGGGAAAGAACTCCAGAGGAAAAACTCCCTGGGATGAGATGCTGCTAGTTCACCTACAGGCAGGGGTCCTCATCTGGAAGACATCGATTCCATGTCTGGGTGCTGTGCAACTTTCAGCAAGCGACTGCATCTCTCTGAACATCCATTTCCTTGTATACAGAAGGCTAACATACACGGTCCTAATCCGTCTTTCCAGCCCTGGGTGTCTGGTGTTTACTTTTCAAGTCCTAGTCTTAGCAATTCTTAGCAACTCATCTTCTGCCAGCTGAGCCTCCAGGTCAGAGACCCTGCCTTTTCTGGGGCTTGAAACAAAACCTGAACTGCAAAGGATTTACCCTCCTGCCACAATGAGCTACGGACAGGGTTTCCTGGCCATTTTCTCAGCTGCCCCAGAACCAGAGCCGCCCTGAGTGACCACGGCTTGGATTCTGCCTAACAAGTTGGTATTCAGCAAGTGCTCTATAAATGCTTCCTGAAGCTGCCTGCTTCAGTGGGAAGAGAACTTTAGAGAATTACCAAGTTAGGATAGCAGTGAACATGGTTTAGGAAGCAGGCCGCCTGGAGAATCCCCTATCCACTTGGGTGTGTAGTGTGACCAGTGACCTAACCCACTTCCGTGTCCATGAAACAGGGCAATAGCACTTAGCGCTCCTGAGACCATCCTGCTGGTTCAGGTCTGTACAAGGGGGTTAGAGCAATCTTGGCATTGGACACACATGCACCTAGTTCAAAACCAAGCTGCTGAGTGACCTTGGATGAGTTAATTGACCTCTCTGGACTGCAGCATCCTGACTGGTAAGAAAAAAATTTCCTGCCTTTACAGGGAACACAGCACCAGACATGGCAGAGAAGGGGCTCTGCTCTGTACCAAGCCAACCACAACTCCCTATAGACATGGGGAAACAGCCCCTTTCAGGCCTGCCTCTCCTGCTGGCTTCCAGGACACAGGTCAGTAAAGATGGTGACCGAGCTAATCGAAGGCCACCCTGGCTCTAAGGGAACACAAGGGGTTCTTCATCACAAACAGCCAGGCTCCAATGACAGCACCAAGGAGGTTCCCATGGTACCAACATGCATACAGCAACAGTTCCGAGTCCCCTGGAAAGGTAGCTCTGTCCTGAGGATTTGGCCATTCCCCTCTCTGGAAGCTGACTGAGGCTAACAGCCACCCTGCCTCTCTCACATCCAGGCACGGGAATGAAAGCACGAAGAGGTAGAGGCACCGTCTCAGGATGGGGCTTTGGCAGCAGAGCTGGGGTCAGCCCCAGGCCGTCTGGCTCGTCTGTTCCTTCTGCATCTTAGAGTCCAGACTGACTTCCTTTTCCATCCACCGCCCCCAAGTGTTGGTGGAGAGGAGGTAGATCGACAGTTGCTACTATGGACACTCTCTGGGCACCCCTGCAGCTCTGGCTTTGTGACCCCGACTCCTCACGAGTTCTTGCTGCGGTGGAGTATAACAAGGCTACCATCTCGACATGGTCCAGGGATCCTGGGGTGTCGCAGCCATAGCGGCTGCAGACTAACACCTGCTCAGGGCTAGCCTCTCAGAGTTTGTGTCCCTCTCTGTATGTGGGAACGTGGGGGCTTGTGGGAGGGTCTAGAACTACCCTAAGGAAACCCAAGGATTTGGCCCCTAGCTTGAGCTCCTCCTGGCTCTCTCATCGGAGCGTGTACAGTGCTCAGTGCCTGTTCCATCTGCTGGCCAGTTCCCGTCTGCCTGGCAGGTGGCTGCTCTCTCCCCTCTGTGCCATGCCAGCCATCTGGACCACCTTCCCAGCTGCTGTGCTGGGCTACTGTGTCCCAGGCCAGCCTGATCCTAGCTGGGTCCTCAGCCACCTTCCCCCCACAACCACCTTTAGTCTCTGAACTTCCTCAAACCTTCTCCTTTTCAACCTGGGAGATCGCCTCATTCTCCACCCGGTCACCAGGAGAACCCCTTTGCCTGCCTGCACCTCCTCACCTCCCACCCCCTGCAGTCACTCAATTACCAGGTCTTCCCTCCACAGCAGGGTCCCATGCCTGCCTCTTCTTGGCCAGCTCCCACCCCTGCAGGCATCTAGAAAGCTCTTTCCCACCCACTTCTTGGCCTGGCAGGACCATCTGGCCTCCTCCTGCCCAACCTCCCCAGCCAGCTTTCTAACATACAAGTTGTTCCATGTCACAGAAAGAGAAGCAGCAGCAGACAATGGAATATTATTTGGCTGCAAAAAGGAATGAAGCCCAGGTTCGTGCTCCCACTGGGGAACCTTGAAAACATTGTTCTCTCTCAAAGAAGCCGGTCACAAAAGTACGGTTCCATTTATAGGAAAGAGGCGCAGGCAGAAGAGCCGCATCTGAAGAGACAGGAAGTCGATGTGTGGCAGCCAAGGGCAGGGGACAGGGGAAAAGGGGAAATGGCTCCTAATGGGTAACAGGCTTACTTTGGGGGCGATGAGCACATCCTGAAATCGATTGTGGTGGTGTTTGCACTGCTCCATGAATGCACTAAAACCCCTGGATGAGCTCCTCTGAGCAGGTGAATTCAGAGGTGTGTGCAGAACGCTTCACTGGGCAGTTGCTGTCCCAAGAGCCACCTCAAGGAGTCCAAGATCTTCAGGGTCCCATAGACTTCAAGCTGGAGCACTGCCCATCTCTCCTGCCTTGACATCCACTCTGTGTCCCTCCACACTCACTCACACATGGTGCCCTTGCCACCTGGACTGCCCTCCCTTGGCCACTGGTACCTACTCCAGTAAGTCTCTCTGAGTGCCTGCCTTCATGGCTTTCTTATGAATCCATATGCCCGGTGGGTTGTTTACCCGGGAGGCCTTGCCAGTCGCCCAGATGGATGAACAGAGCAATGGAAAGAACAGTAGTTCAAGGCTTCTATTGGTATTTGGGGAAACTGAGGCACAGAGAGACAAAAGGTCTTGAGACTCAGATTCCCCCTCCTCCCCTGACCCCCAACAGAGGTCTGGGCTGGCTCCCAAGCCCCAATCCTTGGTTGCCACATGCAAAGGTTCAGATCTGAGTGCAGAGCAAGCATCTGAACCTGAGCAGTGCCCAGTGCCCAGGGGTCTCCCTGTCCAACCTTTGCCCCCCCAAGCCCGCCACAGACACGGCAGGGATCTGCTGCACAGCTGTTCAGTGGCCAAATGCTGTTTAACTCAGAACAGATCCACGAGGCCCAAGGAGTCAGCTCCAAGAGTCTCCTGGCTACTTCTTAACATCCCATTCTCCATGGAGCTCTAGGCCTTGTGGGTTTCATTTCCAGGCCTCTGCTAGGCTGTACCCCCTGCCTGGTGCTAGGCTTGCTTTACCCAAAGGTTGCCTACCGCCTTAGGAAGGCCAGCTAGACTATTGTGAAACTTCGGCATTGTTAAAGCGCCAAAGCTATGCTGGCCTCTGCCTCAGACTCTTTCCCTTCAGTGACCCTCAGCTTGGACCAGCATTAGACAGCGGCGGCCAGGGGCTTGCAGGTCCCATGCTGGAGATGCTAAAGAAGCTCCCAGCCTCAGTGGGACCCTAGGAGGTACTGGTTCAATGGAGAAATACATCCTCACTGGACAGAGAAACAGGGAGGGATGTGGGCCACCCACATCTTCGTGACCCATCAGACCACTTCAGTGTGCAAACGGACACATACTCACTCTTTCTGTCTTCCGGGCCTGTCTGCTAGGGTGACCAGTTCTTATATTCTAAGTCTCGAGTCCCCAAATTCCCAAGTCTGAGACCAGCCAGGAAGGCTTGTAGTCCCACTGGCCACTTGTTTTCAGTTTTTCCTGTAGCCCAGACTTTGAAATCACTGTGTAGCTGGAGATGGAGATGACCTTGAACTTCTAATCCCACACCCACCTCCTGAGTGACAGGATTATAGGCCTGTGCCGCCACACACCTGATTTATTCGGTGCTAGGGATCAAACCTGGGGCTTCATATCTGCTAGACCAACACTCTACCAACCGATCCACATCTCCACCCCTGACCCCATCAGACACTTCAGCTGGAGGGGCCACTTCTCAGCCACTCACAGGTACTCTGGCAGCCCGGCTGCTGAGCCTGCTCCTTCTCCTCAGAGCACTTCTGTACTGCTTTCCCCATTTCTGCCTAGCAGCCGGCCAGCACCGACCTGTGCTGCTGGTTAGCAAGTGAGAAGCCCCCACCCACATTTGTGTTCGCGTACTGT